CCTGCTCACTAATACTGTGATAATGCTTCTTGTTAATATCTTTAAGATCTCCCCTCAGATGTTTAAGCTTTTTACAAACAGAGAACATATTATATCCTTCTATTTGTGTTTGCTAGATTGTAAACACTGTTGGAAGGAAACTTTCATGTTTTATCCACATTTTAAAGAACTTGAATGTCTTCTTCCCTCTTAAGCAATCATCATAAACAGAAACCAAAGCAGGGGAATTATCTGAAAAGTTTGGAAGTAAAAATTCTACCTGGCTTGAAGTGTACATGTTGACCCAAGCATCATTCACCAGAGCTCTATCCAATCTACTCCACACTCTAGAATCATGATCTTGTTTGTTATTCCAGGTATAGAAGCAACCAATAGTTTTAAGATGATTTAAATGGCAGCCATTAATAAAATCTCTGAAATCATTAATGTCATTATCTGCTAGCATTGCACCACCAAGCTTTTCTTCATTACTAATGATATTATTAAAATCACCACATAGAAGCCATGGATCATCCCCTATTGATTGTTGCAGAATTCTCAATTCAAGCCATAAATCTTTTCTAGCCTCCGATTGATTAAACCCATAGATTGAGGAAATTACACTGTCCATTCTCCCATCCAAAGACTTTACTTTACTTGTGATGCATTGCTCTGATATATTGATGATTTGAATATCAATAATATTTGGATCCCACATAACCAAAATTCTAGCTTTACTAGTATTACTGACATTTGATGTCCAACTCTAATTTCTTGTAATGTTTTTGGTAACAACTTGCAACATACTATCATTAATATTTGTTTCAAGCAAAGCTAGATAAGAGAGCTGATATTGTGAAATAAAAAACCTAACCAGATGTTGTTTAGAGGATTTATTTAATCCTCTAACATTCCAAAATGATAGATTCATCATTGTCTCCCCCCCTGTCAATAGAAGAGGGAACTATATCCAAGATGTCCAGATATGAAAATGAATTGGTAGGAATGACACCGTTATTACTTTTGCCTTTTTGAACATAATTCCATGAGCTATCCCCTTGAGGTGAATCTTTAGAATTAACGCTCCCCCCAGTTCTGGCATGCTTAACACGCACAACATGCTTGTGTACTGCTAGCTGCCCAGATTTTATATTTGATTGAACTTCTTCAATTTCTTTACCTAGAGAACTTCCAATGCCAAACTATACAAGAATATCATTTACTTGATTCAAATGATGACTGCCTTCATTTCTAGCATCCTGAATTCCGATAGACTTGCATACATGAATATCATTTATCTCTAATATTTGATGGCTTTTCTCACGTTCATGAGAATCGGGGGTTTTTTTATTCACTTTTTGAGTATTTTCCTTCTCCTTTGTAGCATTTCCATGCGCTGGATTTTGATTTTGCTTGGGAATCCATTTTTGAGTCCTTACTTGCCTCTTGTAGGAACTTCTATCATGTCCAACTGGTTTACACAGTTCACACCACCTAGGCTTAAATTCGTAAATCACTTTCTGAATGAATTGTTTCCCTTTTGGATCCTGAATAGTGATTTGATCTGGGAGAGTGGAAGGTGGGTTAACTTCCACTAACACCCTAGCATATGACAAGTGTTGCCTATTAGCAGTTAATCTGTTAGTAACAATAGGGCACCCAATTGCACTAACATTTTTACTAATGCTTTTAGCATTTCACAAATTAAGCCTCAAAGCAGGAAGTTGTATCAACATAGGATACACACATTTATTTATTTTTTCAACTTCTTCACCATTAGACCAAGGCTTCAATAAAAGAGGTCTTGAGCCAAAAAACCAAGGCACTTTACATAGAATCTCATTCATTTCTTCTTTTCCCTTAAATTTAAACAAGAATAACCCAGGCTTGAGAAGGCAAACTTCAGGCATCAAATTTTTCCAGACTCTTTGTGTATAATTTTCCATAACCTTGAACTTTTCATTTAGTCCCATAACTTGACCAATTAGAGAAGATTGTCAAACTGAAATCTCCTCATTCCATTCATCATCATCAAAAGATATTGTATCTTTGTTTTCAAAAGGTACATAGTTCAAATTCATCCCATAGCCTAGCTTCCTAATATCTGCAAACAGGTTTGCCCCAGCTTTTTCCTGATTTTTTTCCCCCAAAGGAGAAGAACTAATCCCTTTTGAAGAATCATCCATAGGCAATTTAGTCTGCTCATTAGAAACATCCCAAAAAGAAGATTCCAAGTTATCTGTACTTAAATCTTTACTTATTACTTCACTATCTCCCAATCCAGGATTCAATGTAACAACATTTTCTTTAACCAGATTTGAACTCGAAGAAATTTTTATTGAATCATTTATTTCTTGATTTATTGATGAATTAACATCATCTTTTCCATTTTCCATCTCATCCGCCCAACAAACTCTGGCTGAGCTACAAGAACCAGAAGAGGGAGACTTACCAAAGAAACGAGCTTGAATCTCTGACTGAGGAGCAAGCAGACGAACTAGAACACCAGAAAGAGGAGGAACTCGATCATGCTCAGAATTTGCTGAATTCAGAATCTCAGCCATAGATCTTGACTTTTTTCCCCCTTTGGCCCAGTCGATCCCATAACGATGAAATTTTCATCATCTTCTTCACTTCGAACATCAACACAATCATCAGAGGACGTCAAGATCATCTTAGAAGCTCTCAATCCGATCTCTAGGATTTTTTCCCCGTAGTTTTTCTTTTTCTTAGCCATTAAAATCTAGGCAGAGGCGCAAGATAGACAAACAGAAATCGCTCGCTATCCTGCACCATTCAGACCGCGCATTTTTTTTTTAAAGCTCAGTATTAATCATCCTAATGGAAAACAAGTTGAATAAGTAAAAAAGAAGTACTTGTCTAGAGCACACAAAAGAAGGAAACATACAATACGTAAGATTATTGTTTTTCTTTTAATTTCAAGAAAAGAAAAAGGGAAATCCATTTTTATCTTCTTATTTTGTCTGAAGCATGGGTTTCATAAGAAAAGCATTTTATGAGGTGAAGCGCACATTCCTATTATGCTTTAAGTGAAGAAGATAACTAGCTTTTCTTGTGTGTTTTAAAGTGATTATACTTCTAAAAATTTCAAAGCAAGTTTTGGTTTCAAAATTGGACATGATTCATGCTTATAAAAAAATGCTTTTTCTTAGCTAAAGCTTTGCATAGGTTCCTGGGTAAACTAATGAATATTATTAATTAGATAGCATAGACAACTAAAATTCGATACTAACAAGAGGGTGTCATGGAGGATTGTTACTAAGAGATATTTAAAAATTGCCTGACAAGGAGCCATACAAACACATGCAGAAAAATAAATTTAAAAAAAAAAAGGAAAAAGGATGCTGAACCCTAAAGAAAACCAAAAGTTACAAGAACCAGAAATGAAGGGCTTACAAAATCAGAAAAGGCCCAAAAAATGCTTTAAACGATGGAATTCTTGTAGAGTGATTAGCTGGCCCGCTTTGTCTCGTCGAAATACTCTAAAATCGTATATAATATGTCTAGTTTCTCTTTTAGGAGAAAAAGAATTGCTTATTTGCATTTAACTACCCCTAAGCTTACCTTATTAGTTTGATATCTCAAAATCAACAAAATTTAATCTTGATACCCCCTAAAATTTAATTGAAGGAAACTACAGTAAGAAATTTTGATCCTAGTTCACGTAGCTTATAGCTATTTTAGAATATAAAGATATTGTTCCCTTGCTAGTAATGATTTTTCTTTTCTGGAATATTTTCAAGATAAGCCTCCTCATAAGCATGAGGTACGTTTTCCCCTGATATTTGGATGTTTGCATAGTCCTAAAGTTGTCAAACTTTCTCTTCGTTCTCTACTTCGATTATATTAATTTCCAAAATCACTCTTTGTAGTTTCTTTGTAATCTTATTATTGATTTAAATATCCTAGATATATCTGACTTAATGACTGATTATCCTTTTTTAAGGATTGTCTCTAAATGATATGGTTTCAATTTTTTATATCAGTTTTAGCAAGTTTTGATTGGCATACCATGAATTTCCAAATACATCAGATGAAATTTCATCCTTAAAAAATTGGCTGGAATATTGTAATGTCGATTTGCACTTTTATTTATTTTCAAAGATTAGTTTGGATTAACAGTTTAAATGAAGTCCTAGCCCATATAAATCCCTTCCTAATAAATATTTGTCAAGAAGAGTTAGAGCTTAGTTTAGACCAAATTCTTTGGCAAAAGTTTGCAAAGGATATTATCTTTGTTCATAGCTCAAGTTTGGTACACCAAGTATTAACATCGAGGATATGTATATAGACATCACCCATTTTGATACCTTATTATTTATTAAATATCTCCAACATATCCTTGATATCCACCATCCAATATGGAGCTCTTCCTTCCGGCATATCCCCAACATCCGATATTTAAAACACTTAAATAATTTATAGGGGTATCAAGGGTAAATTTGAACTCTGGGTATTTTTTTCAAAGAAATGATGGAGCAAAGTTTAAAATGAGGTAAAACCATATGATATTTGAGTCCAAATAAGAGAAGAAAATACAGTTTCTCAGCACAACTCTGAGTCCTTCATGTGTGTTTCTTTATGATGATGAGTTTGGCGTTGCGAAGCACACGTGTCTTTTTGGTTGTTCATTTTGGACAACCTCTTCAAACTAACAGTGCCCTACGTCTCCCTAACTTCTTGAACTATCATGGCAAAATCCTGCCTCTTCTCTCCTGCATCCCTTCATATGGTTATTTAAGTTTTGTTTTTTCATTGAATTTCAAACAACAAGAAAAGGATGTTTGAACAGTAGGATCGTTTTTCAGGGTAATATTTTGAGCATTTCCAAACATTTTTATTCATTTTCGTTCTGTGATTCTCTTTAGACTTAACTACGATCGCATTTGTCCTTTGAAATCCTTTTTTTTAACCATGTCCCTTAATTTTGTCAGTGTCTAGAAAAATGGTGCCAAACAAATTTTTGTTCTTATTCGTCTTTTTAATGAATTTTGCTGCAGCATGCTTAAAACACTTGAGAGGTATCAGACGTGCACCTATAAAACATCAGACCCTAGTGCCCCATCAATGGAGACACAGGTGAGAATCAACTGAATCCAGTCAAGAAATTTTTTTCATCTTTGCTTTAATTTTTGTCTTTAAGCATATTGTAATATCTTGTTGTCCGATGTTAGGCCTTTTCTGCAATACAACACATTTTTCTGTCGCATGATAGGAAATAAATACATATCCATTGTGCTTGTTGGTCCCTGTTCCCTTCTTGGATATTCAGAAATTTTGTTTGTGATTAATGGCTTATTTTTATGTCAAATTATTATAAATTTCCGTTTCTTAATGCTTAAATGCATTATGCGGCGGTCATTCATTTCAGTATCTAGTAGTCATCTTGATGTACGCAGTAATTCCTCTAATCCCTGATGTAATATTATTGCACATGAAGCAAACAACAGAGGGAACGAAGAGTTCTATGCGTTCACAAGTTTTGTGGTAGAAATTTATTTGATTATGAAGTTCTTGTGTCATGATGGGCTCATCACTATATTTTCTCTTTCTATGTTGTAACGAAGGAGGCTTATATTTGACTAAAAGTGATAGATCGTTCTAGTGTGGATAAATAAGGATAGTGCTTGAAATGCCTCAGAGTTGTTACATTGAATGAAATTTGAGGTCCATAATTGAGAAGTAGAGGAGATAATAGTCTGGAACGTACGTCTTTGCGCTGTGAATTGTAGATCAGATTAGTTTGTGTTTAAGAAAATTGTCATCGACCATAGCATATGCGCAACCAAGAAAAATCATGAAGACGTTTAGGTTGGTGATGCGAACTTGGATTAAAATTATCCATGTTAAAATAACTAGTATATGCGAAGGAAGAAGGCTGTGTTTTTTTGTTGTATAATTAAAAGGAAAAGAGATGGATAGATGATCAATATGATCGTTCCAACTTCCTGATAGGGATTTAACTAACCCCCTAATGCGATTTGGAAATAGAGATGAGAGAGAAGAGAGAGAAAACAATCATACAAAACACACAAGATTTATGTGGTTCACTTCTCGATGTGAGAAGCTACGTCCATGGCCGCCACAGGAGAAAATTTCACTATTTTTGTCAATCTTACAAGTTGTCCTAATATCCCCTTTAATAACACAAGGGTTAATACAAACAGGATTCTAAAATAGTTCAGCAAAAACGAGCCCAGGCCCAAAAAACCCGACTTACGGTCAACCGCAGATACAGTCGCGGTCGACCGTAAAAAATCCCGAGACCAAATATGATTACAAGGTTTGGTGCGGTCGACCACACATGATGTCGCGGTCAACCGAACATGATGTCGCGGTCGACCACAAAAAGTCCAGAGACTTTTCGTGGACCTCTGCACGTTCGCGGTCGACTGCAGAGCTATTCACGGTCGACCATGAAGCCTCCAAGCTGATTCTTTCGTCGTTTTGTCTAACCTTCATCGCCGTCGTTCCTGTTCCTCCAATTTCTCATGTTTCCTCTTCAAAAATAAGGTATAGGGCAAGTCGGATAGTTAGGCTCCACATATCCTAATAATCTCCCAATTGGAGACTAACTTTCAGTCTCTATCACCTCTCCCTACGGTGACGGTCTCCCATATCATCAAGTAATAAGGCCAACTGAAGTTGAACACAACTTCAGTTTCTCTATAGTGACAGTCTTCGTAAGCATATCAGCCGGAGTCTTGCTTCATTGAATCTTCACAAGTTCCAACATGTCATCATCCAATGCCGACCTTATAAAGTGATAACGGACCTGTATGTATTTGGTCCTGGCATGAAAAGCTGGATTCTTTGTCAAATAAATGGCGCTCTGGCTATCACAGTGTAAAACACTCTTCTCACTCTTCTGTCCCAACTCCTCCATGAATCCTTGCAACCATATGAGCTTTTTGCTAGCCTCTGTCACAACAACATATTCTGCCTCTGTAATCAACAAAACAATGATCTTCTGGAACTGAGAAACCCAACTGATGGCTGTAGAATCCAAAGTGAACACATATCCCGTAGTGCTTCTCCTCTGATCTAACTCACCAGCATAGTCTGCATTAACAAAACCCTACAGAACTAATTTCCCTCTCTTAAAGCATAAACGATTTTTTATTATACCTTGCAGGTACCTTAGAATCCACTTTACTAATTTCTAGTGCTGCTCTCCTAGATCTGATATGAATCTGCTCACAATTCCCACTGCATGGGCAATGTCAGGTCTCGTGCACAGCATGGCGTACATAAGGCTTCCAATGGCTGACGAATATGGAACCTTCATTATGTAATTTTTCTCCTTATCAGTCACTGGACACTGCTCCTTAGTCAACTTGAAATGACTAGCTAAAGGTGTGCTAACGGCCTTAGCACCGCTCATTCCAAAACCTCTTAAGCACCCGCCTAATGTAATCAGACTGAGATAACCGTATTGTGCCCAAGAGTTTGTCTCTACTAATCTTCATCCCCAATATCTGCTTTGTTGTGCCTAAGTCCTTCATGTCAAACTCACTCGACAACTTCTTCTTCAGTTTCTTGATCTTACCCAAGTCTAAACAGGCCACTAGCATGTCGTTAACATATAATAGCAAGATAATGTAGCTGGTATCAAGCTTCTTGAAGAAACAGCAATGATATGCATTGCATATGGAGTATCCATTCCTATGCATGAATCCATCAAACTTTTTGTACCATTGTCTTGGATCTTGTTTCAGACCATACAAGCCCTTTTTTAATCTATAGACCATCCTTTCTTTTCCTTTCTGAGTGAACCCTTCTGGCTGTTGCATGTATATTTCTTCCTCTAGATCACCGTGGAGGAAGATTGTCTTCACATCTAACTGCTCGAGATATAGATCTTCAGCTATAACAATACTCAGAACTTATCTGATGGTAGTTAGTTTGACTACAGGAGAGAAGATTTCTGTGTAGTCAACTCCTTCTTTCTGTTGAAATCCTTTGACCACCAACCTTGCCTTGTATCTCTTGGAACCATTATGTTCTTCCTTGATTCTGTACACCCATTTGTTACTCAAAGCTTTCTTTCCCACTGGTAACTTTGCAAGTTCCCAAGTCTTGTTAGAGATCAGGGACTTTATCTCATCTTTTATAGCAAGCTCCCACTTGCTTGCATCATCCACTCAACATGCTTCATCATAGCTTCTCTCCACCATCACTCGATAATAAGTAGTTCAAATGAGCTCTGGACTGTAGTGATGGATACTTCGGATTTGGCTTTGGAACTCTTGCTGACCGCCTCATCTCTCTAACGGGTGAACCAACCTCTGCATCTACCTCCTCTGAAGTAGTTTCCTCCATCATCTCTTCTTCAGCCTCTTCTCCTACGTCCTCATCAGAACTAGCTTCAAAATTGCTTCCTTCTGGAACATCATCTGGCTCAAAGTATGTAGGCTCTAACTGCATTGAGTTTGTGGACTTAACAACATCACGGTATTTGTATAGGACTGCTTCATTGAATATAACGTATCTGCTTCTGCTGACTTTCTTGTTCTGTTCATCCCAGAACTTATAATCAAACTCATCACCACCATAGCCAATAAAATAGCATTTCAAAGACTTAGCATCAAGTTTGTTTCTAACATGATCACTCAAATGAACATATGAAACACATCCAAAAACTTTTAGGTAAGAAAAGTTTACCTTCTTCCCACTCTATACTTCTTCAGGTATTTTATGCTCCAAAGGTAGTGATAGTCCTCGGTTGATCAAGTAGGCAGCTGTATTGATTGCTTCTGCCTAGAATTGCTTTGGGAGTCCTACTTGAAGTCGCATGTTTCTAGCTCTTTTAGTCAATGTTCTGTTCATTCATTCTACTATGCCGTTCTGCTGAGGTGTTCCTGGCACTGTTCTCTCCAATTTGATGCCACTCATAGCAAAAATTTTTGAACTTTTAATCTTCATATTCACATCCATTATCTAATCGTAATTTCTTGACCTTCAACCATGTTTCGTTTTCTACCATAGCCTTGCATCTCTTGAAGACTTCAAACACTTCTAATTTGTGTTTCATGAAATAGACTCAAGACTTCCTCGAGTGATCATCTATAAAAGTCACAAAGTATAACCTTCCATCAGTAGACTGTATTGATACTGCACCCCACACATCTGTGTGAACTAGCTCAAGTTTCTCTTCCTTCGGTGTTCTGCCAACTCTTTTAAAACTTATTCTCTTTTGTTTCCTGAAGATGCAACTTTCACATAAGTCAAAATCAGCCGATCTCAAACCTGGTAACTTTTCATTCGACTGCATAACCTTCAGGCCTTCGCTACTCATGTGACCAAGCCTCTGGTGCCACAAATTTGGATCTTCTTTACTTTTAACCACTACAATGGATCCACATGTATTTGTCGTCATGTAGAGAGATCCACTCTTCGTACCACGGGCAACAATCATAGACCCCTTAGTAACCTTCCACGTATCACATGCAAAGGTTGATGTATATCCCTCCTTTGCCAACTGTCCTATGGAAATCAGATTCTTCCTTAAGCTAGGAACATGTCTCACATCATTCAGTTTCCATATAGACCTATTGAGTTCAATTTGCACCACTCCTTTTCTAACGATATAATACGGTTGATCATCGCCAAGATAGACTTTTTCTAAGTTTCCTGAAACATAGTTCTCAAATAAATCTCTATTTGATATAGCATGAAGTCCTATGGAAATCAGATTCTTCCTTAAGCTAGGAACATGTCTCACATCATTCAGTTTCCATATAGACCTATTGAGTTCAATTTGCACCACTCCTTTTCTAACGATATAATACGGTTGATCATCGCCAAGATAGACTTTTTCTAAGTTTCCTGAAACATAGTTCTCAAATAAATCTCTATTTGATATAGCATGAAACGAAGCTCCCGAATCCATAACTCATGATTCTGTCTTACTCTCCAACGAACAAATAAGGACATCATCTGATTCTCCTGAGACGACGTTTGCTTCAGTCTTGTTCTCCTTGTCTTTCTTGGGTTCCTACACTGATTCTCATAGTGCCCAAACTTGCCACAATTCCATCAGTCAATCTCTTTCTTGCTTTTATGATTTTTGGATCTTGACCTGTCGTTCCTCGAATTAGGTTGACCATGGCTTTTCCCTCTATTTATGTTTCTATTTCTATCTCTACTCTCAAAATTCAATGCCGACCCTGATTTAGAAACTCCTTCTTCTTGTCTTCTTATCTCTTCGGTCATAATCATGTCTACAACTTCTAAAATCTATAGTTTTGATTTTTCACATGACACGCTAATCGAAATAACGGCGCCCTTCCAACTATCAAGCAACTGCAAGTATTAGCAGAGCTTGAATTTCATCATCAAATTTAATATTGACGAATTTAGTTGATCCGTGATCTTATTAAACTCATTCAGGTGTTCTTTGAATTTTTGACTCTCGAACATCCTCAAATTAAACAGCTTCTTTATGAGATGTACCTTATTCGTCGCGGAGTGTTGTTCATACATACTAAATAGTGCAGCCATGAGATCCGACGTCGAATTCTGATTCTTGATGTTGAAAGCTACAGATTTGGATAGGGTAAATCTGATTGCTCCAAGGGCATTCCGATCTAATAGCTTCCACTCTTCATCCTTCATATCCGTCGGCTTCTCTCCCAATGGCAGATATAGATCATTCTGATAGAGGTAGTTTTTCATCTGCATCTTCTAGAACCCGAAGTTTGTCTCATCAAACTTCTCGATCTTGGACGTCTCCTTCTCAGATCTCATGTCTCTGACCTCAAATCGCCTTCGCCGAACCTGGTCGCTCTAATATCAATTGATAGGGATTTAACTAACCCCCTGATGTGATTTGGAAATAGAAAAGAGAGAGAAAACAAACACACAAAACACATAAGATTTACGTGGTTCACTTCTCAGCGTGAGAAGCTACGTCCACGGCCGCCACAGGAGAAAATTTTACTATTTTCGTCAATCTTACAAGTTACCCTAATATCCCCTTTAATAACACAAGGGACACAATGGTTAATACAAATATGATTCTAAAACAGTTCAGCAAAAATGACGGCTCAAAAAAACCCGACTCGTGGTCACCCGCAGATATAATCGCGGTCGACCGCAAAAAATCCTGAGACCAAATATGATTACAGGGTTTGGCGCGGTCGACCACACATGATGTTGCGGTCGACCTCAGAGCCACTCGCGCTTGACCGTGAAGCCTCCAAGCTGATTCCTTCGTCGTTTTGCCTGACCATCATCGTCGTCGTTCCTGTTCCTCCAATTTCTCATCTTTCCTCTCCAAAAATAAGGTAGATAGTTAGGCTCCACATATCTTAACACTTCCAACCGTAATTGAGGATTTCTCTGTGGGCTGTACTGAGCTTTAGCAAAATATATGTTAAACTTAAGAGCCTTTCTGCTTATGAAAGAAACTATTGCTTCTGCATGATCGTCTCGACTTGTTTGTTGTTGAATCCTATCTCAATTGGGATAAGTCATATCTAAAGGCTTTTGATCTGTCAAGTAATTACTTACATGCATGAAGTGTCCGCGTTGGTTATGGTTCACTTACCTCTTTCATCCTTTTACTGGTTTCAACATTGACGAGTACTGCCCTTGAATAATTGATAGAAATAACCTATGCAAGGTCACAATTTTAAAATTGGATTAACAGGCCAGCAAAAACCATCAAAGACCAGTGTTTCTGAGAGGTTGAAACTATTTAGCAGGGTTCCCTTTATGTGGCGATCATAATATGTGATATTTTCCTCGTATGAGTACCATTGTCAGTGAACTGATTTCAGTACCTTGGCCATTGGGCATAACCTTGAATCACAAAAGAATGAATCCCATTCATTCTGCTCTGATCAAACAAGCAATTAAATATTATTTATTCTGGAAATCCTCCAACAAACCAATCAAGAAATTGATGCCTCTCATTCTCTCAATATTTAGTTCTTACTTGTCATGTGTGTCTTGAAGTTTGCAACGATATCCAGTTTCTAACCTGACCCGAATCTTGCTATGGAGTTGCTTTTGTAATTTTCCGATGTATATCTATTGTGATCGAGGGTTGTGTTACGTGTGATAATTTAGCTGCCTATTATGAGGCTGGCTGTATTGATTATAAAGGGTATGAGATATTTTACCAATGTTTTACTCCTACCATTTTAGCTAACGTGTCTCTCCTTCGTTGCCTGTGGATAGGCTAAAACTTTTATGCTTTCTCTGTTTCCCACCATCTGTATGTGATCTCAAGGCTTGCTTCAAAAGAAATTCATTTCAAGTTCAAATCAAGTACTCAATGTTCCTCCAAGTGTTTACATGAATATGTATGCACAAGCATGCATACGTATTTCTTAATCGTTTTATTTTAGCAATCACTTAATGTTGTCAATGAGTAGCTTTTTGTGTTTCAGTAGTCATAAACTTTGGCCTCCACGATCAATTCAACTATCTAAAAGTGAACACTTTCTTTCTTTCTTGTAAGCAGAACAGTTATCAGGAGTACTTGAAGCTGAAAGGAAGAGTTGAGCTTCTGCAACATTCTCAGAGGTAATAGATATTTCCCAACATGAGTTTCCTCAGCATGTATCATCATATCATAATAAGACTTAAGAATGAAATTGTATGATAATTTAGGCATCTCCTGGGCGAGAACCTTGAGCAACTCAGCAGTCCGGAAATTGATCAACTTGAGAGTCAACTAGAAAAGTCGCTGAAGCAGATCAGGTCATCTAAGGTTTGTAGTCTTTAACTCGATGTATGCTTCATTTATGTATGTTGTTTGTTGCTTATGTTATTGGGTTTCCTGTATCGTCATTAGCATTGTCCATAACGTGATATAATTATCTCTCAGCATGATTCTAGGCTAGAAGGCTCTAGTATAGACATATATCTATATGAAATCTCATTAGAGTAAGGACCTTTTACATTATCGTCCATTTGGAATAGATCAGAGTAAGAATGCAACAAATAATTGGATGAAATAGGAATTAGGAGGAATTCTGAAGCAACTCCTCAAGGCTTATGTTGAGTTTAAGCCTTTCGGTCTGGGAACTAGCTAGGTCCTGTTCTTTCTAGCAAACAAGTCAAAAATTGCTTATTTGTTTCTTCTCCTAGACTTCTAGGATTTGACTATGTCACTAATTTATTTATTTATTTACACTTCTTCCTGGGGAATAATAGAAATTATGTGAGGAGTATAATTTGGGAGGTGATCACAAATTTGGTGAGAGGGTCTAAATCAAGAAATGTGATGGTTTGAAGAGTAATTTGAGAAATCCCTATGATTTGGAGGTTGTACAAGCCATTTGACGTGCATGAAATTATCTCGAGACTTGCTTTTTTTCTCATTGCTCATCAACTTTCTAGGAATTGAAGTATCTGTTCACAGATTTTTCAGAAGATTTTGCATAATTACTAATGAATTCCTTTTTTGTCATTTTTGTGATGATGAATTGAAGTTAGGAGAGCATTAAAGTTACCATACATTACTTTAGCACCTGTAATTTTGTAAGATTAAAATCTTTTATACGTAAGCATTCAAAACCATCTCTAACATATAAGCACATGCAGACTCAGATGATGCTTGATCAGCTGTGTGATCTTAAAAGAAAGGTGACTCATTCTCACTTTGGAATTTTAACAAAATAAGCTGCATATTTCATACCCTTTTGATAACTTTTCCTTTTCCCTTACGTGTTGGATTAATCCTATGTAATCTTGTGTAATGCAGGAGCAAATGTTGCAGGATGCCAATAGAACGTTGAGCAGGAAGGTAATTAAAGAGATGATTTTGGATGCTTGATATGCTGATAAGCACGTTCATTTTGAACGGTTGATTTATTATTTATTGTCTTGTTCTCCTACTTTCTCTCTGCAGTTGCAAGAAATTGGTTCAGAGAATCCTTTCCGGCTCTCTTGGCAAAATGGTGATGAAAATGGTGATGGATCAAGTTCGCAACGTAATCGCGAACCTCAACCTCAGAACCAAGGCTTCTTTCAGCCTCTGGGATGTGAGCCTCCTTTGCAAATCGGGTAACCTTTGATATTTCCCAGAAATTTACCACTAAGAAAGTTAAATTATGTCACTGGTTTAAATCCGATTCTCATATTTTTATTCTTTTCATCGACAGATTCAATCAGGTGGATCATTTGAACTCTGGAGTGACAAGAAACCATAATGTAAATGGTTTTGCCACCGGATGGATGTGATAAAATTCTAAACTTGCATCTGACCTTGCAAACCTTATCTAGATTATTTTGTCCTTTTTATTCCCCCCTTATGTATCCTTCTGCTTGATGTTTACATATCTTTCTATTCTAAACAATAAGAACAATAATAATATTGTGACGTCCTACTAAGATCCGAAATAAGAAATTTATGTGCGAAAGTTGACGGGTCAAGGTTGCATAGAATGTAACTATTTGTAATGAAACTATATATCTTTATTATGAATGAAGACTGTTGTAATGTGAAATTAATCCTCATTTTTCA